ACCTGGTCACAATTTACTGCCCCTGAAGCCCAACCCCACTCCTTTTTTTCTTGTCACTTCTCCACAAACTTACCACTCTTTGTTAAAATCATATATAAGGGGGCGCCTGGGTGGCTCAGTTGTTAAGCGTCTGCCTTCGGCTCAGGTCATGATCTCAGGGTCCTGGGATCAAGCCCCGCATCGGGCTCCCTGCTCTGCGGGAAGCCTGCTTCTCCCTCTCCCACTCCCCCTGCTTGTGTTCCCTCTCTCGCTGTGTCTCTGTCAAATAAATAAATAAAAACTTTAAAAAAAAAAAATCATATATAAGCCCCTGAGTCTAATGGCTTCTTTAGGTATTCAGTATTTTTCTATGAAGGCCTCATATATATATATATACACACACACACACATATATGGAAAATACTTGGCATGACCAATGAATAAGTTAGGGATCTTGGGGTGTCACTCTATATGTCCAACTATACTATAGGTACTTTTAGGTACTCTATTTTACATGAATGCTAACAAGACTGAGGATGTAGTTCAAAAGAGATAAATATATCACTATCATAAGAAAAGAAAAAAACACACACATCAGGAAAATAAATAAATTAATAAACTACACTGTGTACACTGCCCCTCACTATAGCTAGCACTAGGTTCAAAGGTAATACCAGATACCATAATCCAAAGGCATATGAAACAGAGGCCGCTTCTAACCATCCCCAATCAAAATGACAAAAGCAAAGGAAATACCAATCTATTCTCAAAGACAACAGATATGATACTCAACTACTACAGGAAAAAAGCTCAGTACTCCAGGGGTCACTACTTTTTGTATCAAAGAACTGCTATGCTCCTCATTTAAAAGGCCTGTATTTGGGGCACCTGGGTGATGCAGTTGGTCGAGCGTCCAACTCTTGGTTTTGGCTCAAGTCGTGGTCTCAGGGTTGTGAGATCGAGACCCGCGTCGGGCTCCAGGCTCAGCATTCAGTCTGCTTGAGTTTCTTTCTCCCTCTCCCTCTGCCCTTCTCCACCCCACATACTCGCACGCTCGCTCTCTCAAATAAATAAATCCTTTTTTTTTTTTAAGATTTTATTTATTTATTTGACAGAGAGAGACACAGTAAGAGAGGGAACACAAGCAGGGGGAGTGGGAGAAGCAGACTCCCTGCTGAGCAGGAAGCCTAATGAGTGCTTCATCCCAGGACCCTGGGATCATGACCTGAGCCAAAGGCAGACGCTAAATGACTGAGCCACCCAGGCACCCCCCAAATAAATCTTAATAAATACGTAAATAAAAGGCCTGTATTCAAACAAGATTGGGAGTTACTTAGGTTTTTTGGGGGATGAGGTGGGGTGGATAGACGTAGTTAAGAATCTGTCAGTAGGGGCGCCTGGGTGGCTCAGTCGTTAAGCGTCTGCCTTCGGCTCAGGTCATGATCCC